ATAGACCGGACAATCATTTGTAAGGTCTTCTGCCTTGAACAGGGGATTGGACTAGAAGACCTCTTTCAGACCTATTTTTCTACAGAAAGGTGTCTTTTTTATCACTTTATCAAAATATCAAAACCTACCCCTTGGTAGCTTGAACCTCTAGTACTTCTTATTGCAAAATGAGATGACAAACAAGAATAGCTGTTTCAGAAATGGTTAAGAAATTATCTTGAGCATCTTGTCTTACAATAGGTGAATTTTATAAGGGCTCACAAGAAAGTTTCTTTTTCATGTTGTCCATGAGATTATTCTGTATTCTTGAATTTCTAATGATTCATCACCATCTGGGTCAATATAAAGTCATTCATCTTGTCTCATTTTTTTTGCTCCTCTTTTTAACTCATTGTCCTTAACTTTACATTTCTAATAAAGTGGAAGTCTGAAACATTGAAGGAACTGCTTGAATTGTGCTTAATATCAAGGATGAATTAAAATTCTTAAGGGCAGCACTGTTACGGCTAATAGGCGTCCATTCAACAACTTATATAAAACAAAATTGCAAAGTTTATAGCATTGCAAATCTTGGGTGTTCTCCATGAAAAAGTCCTGCAATGTACCACCCATACAGTTTATAAACTATCATACGTTGGGCCATGTTCTGAATTCATCCCAGCATATCTCTGCATATGGCCAATTTTCAAATATTAAAGCAATCGTGGAGAACTTTCACTGGCTGAAAGTTAATCATATTATGTTATGAGATTGACTTCATTTTCTATTGCTTACACACTTTTCTTTAAAAAAACCACCCCAGTTGAAAAATATCTTTAAACATAATGTATCATTGTGGTGCAGAGAGCGTGCATATCACCTTTTAAAGTTTTTCACACCCGTTATCTTTCCTGTTTATCTATAAAACTATACACAGCCTCTAGGTTAATAGGCTGGCCATCACAATGACATAAACATATCAGCTTCCTACAATCAAATAACCAATGCATCAGGCTCTGAAAAAGTGAAAGGCAGGGAGTGTGGTTAGAGAACCTGATTGCGGCATTATGTTCCTGTGTGGGAGTTCACTGCTTTTGTAATAGAGCAATGGCATAGTTGTGGTTAAAACAAATTGTATCTGGCACCGTTGTGCCAAATACTTCTAATTTATACATTGTGTGGGTGGCATATCTTGACTATGGATTTGGACATCAAAATATGCTAAAAACGAGATACCAGCCAAAATAAAGCTGAATCATTATCATTATTATTATTATCATTCCAGGCCATTATATATTTTATTGAAGTTTGTTTAATCCAGGCGCTCTAGGTAATTCAGCTTCTGATTCACTTTGTAAGGTGCAATGTTTTCCAATCTGTCTTCCTAACACTATTTCCTTCAAACAATATTTCATTCTAGATCTCTTTTAATCATTTTTGAATGGGGTGAGATAGGTTAGTTCTCATTACAATTTCCATGAATTAGTACTGATACTGTTACTAGTGGGAGCATGTTCAGAATAATGGAACTGATTATGCACTTTTTTGGGGGGTCACGTTCACCATTATCTTTATCCAAAGCAAGAAACATTTGTAGGCAGGTGTTTGTAGTGAGAGGCCTCCCTTTTCACCCCATAAAGTGGCTGCTTAGCCTTTTTTTTTTTTGAGCTTGACTTTCAGTACACACCTTGATAGCTAAGAATAACCATAAATTTAAAAAGCCAAGTAAAAGATTCTTTGGGTCAGGTAAGTGACTCTCTGTACCTGTCTAGATTGATGTAATAGCAACAATAAATGATTTGTCATTATCTTCTTTCAGGATGGGTATCTTAGGGGCTTCAAGTACGAATCAAGTTTGACCCTGCTTACCATTTTCAAGATCAGTCAAGGGTAATGAGGTGGTACTAAAGTATGTGACTTTAATGTCCCTCTTTGTGCAATCCAATACCACAGATGGGTGAATGTGGAATAAGAAGTGGAGAATAGGAAGTATGTGAAAAAACAGCATAGTACCTTAGGGGGAAAAAAAGCTTCACTCTAATTTATACCCTGTTCTTATTAAATCTGACAAAATACTGCAGTGAGCAGAGATAATAATGAATCATTTTAGAGGCAGGAGATGATTTTAATGCAAAAAAATCGCTCATTTATTTATGCAATTTATATACCACCTTAATCCTAGTAGACACTAGGCACTATACAGATACTAATAAATTAAAACAAATACCAGTTATACTAATCATAATACAGACAATAAAAATTAATACTAATGCTAGTCACTTCATATTCATTCATTCCTGAAGGATTTTCTGGAATTCTCAACTTTTTATAAGCTTCCAGAAGGCAATGAGAGGAAGCATCCAAGAGGAAGCTGTCTCAGAGAAGAGCCCTGCCAGAGAATAACTTCACAGCCCTCTTACCACATTTCATAACAGGGACTTTTATCAAGCATTCTCTGGCTACTTGGACTAAGTGGGAAGGCTCTATCTGGGAAAAGCAGTTCCTTAGATACCAGGACTAAGACCTCCAAATCATACAGGACTTTAACAGTAGCAACCAACACCTTGAATTAATCCAGGAACACCCTAAGCTCCTGCAGCAAAGGCGTAATATGGCAGAAGCATGACTGCATACTAAGCATGTTGATCAATACATTTCCAACAGCTAAAATTTCTGAGTGATCTTCAAGAGCAGTACCATGCACACTGAATTACAATAATCTAACTGAGAGACAGATGAGGGCAAGTTTGATGGTTCGCAGGTTCAAGATAATTAGCCAGAAGTGGACAAAGGCTCTCCAATCTATGGCTTCTGTCTGCTCTTGAATCTGGAAGAACCTAAGAGATTGCAAGCCTGTTTATTTTGGAGAAGCACAAAAAGCAAGAGTTAATGTTTGAATCGTCCTGGAATCACTAAGCCTCTGAATCAACATTCCTCTATCTGCTTGGTTCAGTCTGAATCAATGTTTCAATTTCTCCTTCCCATGTTCTTACAGTTTCCAGGCACAGGATTATCTGTATGTCCCACTGGGCTTAGAGTGGAGATACATGATTGAGAATAATCTGCCAATCGATGATCTCGTATCAATCAATCAATCAGAATAGAGCTAGAAGGGACCTTGGAGGTCTTCTAGTCCAGCCTCTGCTCAGGCAGACAATATCATTTCAGACAAGTGGCTGGACAGTGCCTTGTTAAAAACCTCCAGTGATGAGGCATTTACTATTTCTGAAGGCAAGCTGTTCTGAAGGCAAGTGGTTAATTGTCCTCACTGTTAGGAAGTTTCTCCTTAATTCCAGGTTACTCCTTTCCTTGATAAGTTTCCATCCGTTGTTTCTTGTTCTGCTCTCTGGTGCACTGGAAAATAAATTGACCCCTAAACTGATGGATTATTTCTTACAGCAGCTTCATATAGACATTAAAAAGGATAAAACAAAAATTGTAATCCTCAGGGAGCTCATACTGCAGCAACTGAAGATCTGACCCCTGATTTGACCTGTCAACTCAGGAAATAACCTCATAGTAATGGCACTTTCAAATCCCAGCACAAGTTGTCCACAAAAATGACCGATGTGACTTCTATTCCATGTCTAATCCATATCCACCAGGGGTTTCTGTAATTTTTACCCTGCCATTTTCTTAATAGTCTTTTCCACAGAGGAAGATTGGCGATATGGGCAGACCAGTAACGGTTTCAGAATGGCCAAAACTTCTACCTGTAATAAAACTGAGTTCAGGAAGCGATGCTGCAATGAAGCTGGAAGGATAGTACAAAGTAACATTTCTAAACTTGACCCTTTGGCCTAATCTCATAAAGAAGGTCATAGATCTGGCTATTTGTAGTACAAAAAATATTGTAATAACCATACCCTTCCAGTGCACAACTATAATTCCATTTCTCTTTCTATGTGATGGGGACTGATGCAGCACACAAAACATCACTGAACAGATTTCAGCAAGGGGAATTTCTCCCTTTCATCCAGCAGCTCTCAATGACACACGAGGTTAGGCCTTTCATCCACAATTACACTGTCAATGAGGCTACATTATTATGAGTGGACCTGGCATTCAAAAGCATTCTTCTAAGCCAGTGGTTCTCAACCTTTCTAATGCCGCAACCCCATAATACAGTTCCCCATGTTGTGGTGACCCCCAACCACTTATACATCACTGGGTGCCAGGGGCGTGGCCAAAGAAAAGGGGAAAAAATGGCGGACAGCCTTGTTTGGCGACCCCCGTGAAATGGTCGTTCGACCCCAAATGGGGTCCCGACCCACAGGTTGAGAACCACTGTTCTAAGGCTTGGCACCCAGTAAATCAGATGCCAAAGAATTAAGATTTAGGGACGTTACATCACATTTCCAATTTCCCTTAAGGTAAGGCTCCCTTACCCTCCGTACTTCTTCTTGATTATCTTCCTACTATCATTAATCAAGGAGAGAAGCAACCTAGAATTAAGGAGAAACTTTCTAACAGCGAGGACAATTAACCAGTGATTAATTGTAGGTGCTTCATCATTGGAGGTTTTTAAGAAAAGACTGGAGAGCCACCTATCTGAAATAATATAGAGTCTCCTGCTTGATCAGGAGGTTGTAGTAAAAGACCACTAAGGTCCCTTCCAGCTCTATTCTGATTGATTTTTGTCTTGTATACTCAGTTTCCTTCTTATCAACAGTCCAGACAAAATCCTCAGTGCATTCTCCACTTCATCAACTGTCCTTACTACGCAACTCATTCAACTTCTCTGCAATCCAAATTCATCTAGTTCCCTTCACCTCCAAAGACTATACTTCTGTTTCCAATTCCCCAACTGGTTCTCACTCAGCCCAGAATCAAAGTTCTTACTCCAGGGAAGATATCCTTTCTAAATTTCTGTTCCTTAGAGAGCAGAACACCTCTTTCTTCTTCTACCAGATTCACCTATTCTCTTCTGTGGTCAGTATAATATATAACACTACAACCCAACATTCTTTTTTCAGGTCTTCTACTTCATCTTAATTCTTCCTTTTTTTTTTTTAAGAAAATATAGTTTTCTAAGTTTTAAACATGTAACTTAGAAGCAGTGAAGGAGCTAATGAACTGTATAAACTGACAGTGGTGATAATTTAGTAGCAGTATCTACTTTGTAAACCGAAGAATCCATGATCTATAGATAAAGCTCAAAATGCTACGCTGGAAACCTCCTTCTGGGCCAGGAATGGTACTTGACCTTTGAATGTTCGAATGCATGAACAAAACTAGTGAGTAAAGATAAAATAAAAACCCCGTTAATTCATTTAACTTACATTTAAATAACGTATTAACAGTTTTATTCTTCTATCACATATAGACTATTTCCTCACTTCTCCCATATTAAAATGGTAATTTGATAATAAAATTTATTAGTCTCTTGGGACCTCATCTAAAACTTTCCAATAACATTTGTAGCACTGGAGTCTCTGACTATTCATCTCTTGCCTTAGGTGGATTAAAACTTTTGCCTGATAAAAGACTATATTCTCAACTTTTCACTGAAAAATCAGTCATATGTTTCATATAAACATAACTATATAGATTTGTATACCTAAGTATACACATACAAACATTTGCTTGTGCACATGCAATATCAGATCTTCAATCTGCTCCATTTCCAAACTAACAGAAACTTAAATTTTAATTACTTTTATATTATTGATTACTGAAGAAATCTTGGTATCCTTTTGGTGGAAGTGTTTTCTAAGCTAACATTCATGTACATCTACTGAAACAAAACAGTTCAGCTCAGTTTGTTACAGGAAATACTCATTGGACATACAGTACATGTTTTTAAACATGTCCTTCCTCTCAAACCTCAGCTTGAGTTCTAGCACCATCTACAGATGACAAAAAAAATTAATTACCAGCTTCTATGTACATACATACCACAACAATGGGTCAGAAATGGAGTGCATTTTTCCCATTAATTACACATAATCTGGAATAGCACTTTATCAAGATGTTCTAATGGCTGAATATTTCCCAGCACAGTGAGAACTGTTAAACAAACCCTACATCTGCCTGCATCTTTGGGTATGTTCCCAGTACGCTGTACTATATAAATGATTGTGTTGGGCTCAATGGATCACATGTTGTATAGTCCCATCTAATTGTTGGTTAACTATTTAAGCTACTTTATTGCATGCTGCAGAAATGAAGGCAACCTTCAAACAAAACCAGGATTTCAAAATAGTTTTTACTTCCATTAAATAGTGAAAGTGTCCTACTTTTTGTGTGTTAGAGTTTGACATGTGTATTTTTCAGTCCAGGATGCTTGCCACATTCCCTCCTTCTCTTGACAAACGTCACATCAACACTGTGCTCTTGCTTCTCCTCTGAAGTAAAAAGTGGCATCTATTTCCTATAAACCAACTGGTGTAAGAGGAAGATAATAAGTGCTTTCCATGCTAAGTCATAGGGCTGGTTTAGGGGGATACTCAAATGTATCCTGTAAGTGCCACATCTGGAAAAAAAAGAAGATCCCTGATACATGTGGAGCTTGCCTATACATATCTGAGGCACCACACAACTGGTCTGCTGCAGATGGTTCAGATATATGGTAGACCAGTGTTTCCCAAACTTGACAATTTTAAGGCATGTGGACTTCAACTCCCAGAATTCCACAGCCAGCGTTGCTGGCTGTGGAATTCTGGGAGTTGAAGTCCTCATGCCTTAAAATTGTCAAGTTTGGGAAACACTGTGGTAGACCATCTGCCCCATGTATTGTGAGGTTCAAAAGCTGGTCCTCCTAGTCTTGATACAGAACTCAGATATTCAAAAAGTAGTTAACTGCTTCTGCCCTGAGCTACTTAATTTAACTTGCCTATTTAATACTATCAACAACAACACCTGATATTTCTCTCCCCACTTTCCTCCATGACAGTCTTGACTGTTACACGTCAAACTGCTTTTGAAGACAGAAGAACAAAGCCACTTTGGGGAATGATATTGCAACATCATATCCAGATATTGTTCTTTAGCCCTTCTAAAGTCATTGGTCACAGTGCAGAACAATCCAGCAATACTTCTTATACGTATTAAAAATGTATCATTTATACATTCAACACAATTTAAAGTCTGATATATGAAAGCAAAAAAAAAAAAAAAAAGAGAGAGAGGGGAGGGGAACCCAAGATCCAGTGAACAATTTTCAATGGTTCCCATTAAGGCTACAAGCTTTGAAGAGAATTTCCCATGCAGGTAACTCACTGGGTATCTCTTTAAGCCTAGAACAAAGTTGGATACGTTATGCTAAAGAGATATTATTTAAGCATGATAGATATGTTATTAGACCAAACAAGAAATTTAGACCTGAAAGTGATAAAAAGGAGTCTTGTGCAACAGGACTTATCCCCACCTAAGAGCATCTATTCATACCACAATGTCCCCTTAAAGACAGCAGTAACGCCATATTTCTCATGAATGCAAACGATGCTCATTTTGAGAAGGGGCACCAGGCTCTGCACTCTAAGACTAAATGGAGCAAACAAATGATTTTTTCAGCCTCCAGTCTAATCTGGTATGGAGTCTGCGGGACACAACAAATTCGCATGGGCTCCACTTTGGATGATGGAGTAGGTTTGCTTTGGCACACCTGAATGAGAAGAGGATGAAAAGATTGGTGGAGGGGACGCTGATGCTTGCACTGAGATGTTCTGCTCGTCAGCACTGACCACTGTCACTTCTTCTGCCCCTTCTTGAATTAAAGCATTGAGCCCTTCCAAATCTGAGCAGCTGATCCCTGTGCCATTGATGAAGGCCTGGTTAGTTGAGACCTCATGGCTGCCTACTGGAATGGTGGAGATCAGGGTCTGGTTTGGTGTGCTTCCATCAGCCTGGTTGTGAGTTGTGAGAAGGACTGTGGGTTGACCAACTGAAAGGCTTTCTGCCGAAGACCCAACAGGAAGGGGTGGAGCCAATAAGCTCACCTGTTGCAGTATTTGCAGCTGGTTACTGCTAGACAGATCATCCTGATTCTGAGTTATTAAAGTAGGAGACACAATATTGACTTGACCTCCTTGTTCCAAGCTGCTGCCCTGGGGCAGCTGATGCCCAACAATGATCTTGACCTGCCCTTCCCCATAGGGGGAAGTGTGCAAAGGCATCTGCAGATGACTAACAGTAATGGGAGTACCATCTTGTGGGGTAGGGTCCATCTGGAACTGCAGGACAGCCAGCTCAGAAGTTTTATTTCCATTATATTCAACATGCTGCCTTTTATGGCTCCTCAGAGAGTCCTCCCGGACAAAGGAGGCCTCACAGAAATCACACCTGAAGGCTTTCTTGGCCTCCAGCTTGGCAACTTGTCTGGAGTTGCCTTCCTTTGGCCGATCTCCTTCCCCTTGACCTGATATATTTTCTCTGATTCTGACCTTATCGGGATGGGCTTTCTTCACATGGGTGGTCAAATTGCTCCGTTGCTTGGTATCAAAGCGGCAGAACTCACACTTGAAAGGGCGATCCTTGGAGTGGATCCTCTCATGTACTTTGAGGGTCGCCTTGTTTGAGCAGGAATAGCAGCACTCTGAGCATTTCACAGCCTGCTCAGGCTGGTGGGTGCGCAGATGCTGCCGGAGACTTGTCTTATTCCCACACTGGAACTTGCAGACGAGACATTTGAAGGCATTTTCCATGTTGTGCTTGATGCGGATGTGGGACTTCAGGTTACCTTTCATGGCACACCGGACTTCGCAGAACTCACATTTGTAAGGCTTCTCCCCTGTGTGCACACGCATGTGCCTCTTCAAGTCAGAGTTGATTTTAAATTTGGCAGGGCACAGACGGCACTGGAAAGGAGCATCTCCTGTTTGAGAGACAAATGTTTGCAATAGCAATATTTGCGTGACAGGGATTCAGATTAATTCTAGCTAAATGAAACTCATGATACTTACTAACGAAGTAATCGAAAACCATGTATTTACTAGGGCTATAGAGCATTCTGGGTTCCAAGGTGGTACTTTTGGGGCAGTTTTTCAACCTCAGCTACTTTTAAGATGTGTGGACTTCAATACTCAGAATTCTTTAGCCAGCCAGCATTCTGGGAGTTGAAGTCCACACATCTTAAAGTTGCTGAGGTTGAGAAATATTGCTTTAGAGGGTTTGCGGGAACATACACTACGTAGCCCATTTGCCATTCCTCAAACCACACACAAAAGCTGGAGTTTGTGGTATTACCGTTGTGTCATCACATGTTCCAAAGTACCTCTGATGAGATTGCAATTCCCAGAATTCCCAGGTGGCAGTGAACAGGCTAACTAGAAACATTAAAAGTTTCTCAGTACTAGCTTGGGAAGCTAGTACTATAAAGCATATTTTGTTTACAGCAAAAGAAATTGCATTTAGAAATATGTTTTGGGTAAAGCTGTTTTTCCAAAGACCCAACCTTCATTGATCTGGTATGTAGGTTTTTGTTTATTTAGCTGCTATATTACTGGTAAAAATTGCATTCGAATGTTGATTTTTTAAAAAAGTAAAGTACGCTACAAAGAGATATTTATAGGGAAAAATGCCAGTGTGAAGACGAAAGTGAGCTCTTTGTCCAACAACGTATTGATAATTCTTACAGCACATCTACAACTGTTATGAGCTCCATCTTGTTAATAAACTATGGTTATTGTTAATAGTTAAACAAACAAAAATACCATTGATTTACTGCTGCTTTCTGCCATTTGTAACAGCTTGTGTATTGTTTTCCCCCCCTTGTACAGTCACAGGATGCCACTTAAAACAGAAATAAAATATAGCCAGCTCCCTAATACAGTGTATTTGTTATTCTTTAATAACTATGACACATGAGGCTTAATTTACTTTACAAGTTAATATTTTATAGATGTTCATAAATGGAAGATTGTAAAAAGATGCATAATTGGTTTAGCCGGCTATATGTTTCATTGATTCCAACTAAAGATTTTTGAAATCATGACATGGCGTGCTGTGGTAATCCATGCATGTATTTAAAGATTAAGGCCTTTGCTATAAAATGTTTATTATACACATTATATTAATGAAGATGCACAGACTGACAGTTCTATTCTTTGTATTGGCTGGCCCTGCCTATTACTGCCTGCATTTTAGGAATCCTGATCTCCTTTTTTCTGAAAAACAGCTGCTGCAGTGCACAAAGTCTCCATTTTGGGATGCCAAACTATATTGAAAAAAGTAGCTATATTTAATTGCTGTCAGGGCATTTAAGATTTAGTCCATCCTTCTCAATGAACTTTTAAGTATTTGGCTTTGATAAAAATAGCTTTTAAAAAAGTCAAGGAGGACCTTTAATTTTAACCTCCCAAAACAAACACAAAACTTCACCTATGAACCATGTCAAAGCAAGTAAAAGAAACCTGGCTAGCTGAGCCTAAAGCCTGTAGAATAAAAGGCCGAAAAGGGAAGAAGGAAATGTCTTTGGAGAATCCTACAAGAAGCTTGGTTGTCAGAAAGAACAGAATTTTACTAGCCAAAAATCAAGGTATCACGGGAGAGCCCTGTAGACAAAAAAAGCCTGCAGCAATAATATTAAAGCTGCAGAGAACTGCAAAACTTAGGTATAACACCTATAAATCTGGCTTGTGGCTTGCAAGTGGGAAAGCTCAAAATACAGCTCAAACCACTGACCCAAGATGGGGGTCTGATTGGAAAGAGGAGAAATGGTAGCATCTGTAGAACCAACATTGGGTAGGGCAGTCTCTCCCACAATTGAAAGTTTTCTAAGAATCAGGATCTTAAAAGAGATTTTTTCTCCTTTAAGCTTCTACTTATAGTATTAATAGCATACTCAAGCACTGTACTATATCATGTTTTGCTTAAAAAGAGCCTACTGATACCCACAGGGGCTTTGGCACAACTTGCTAAAGCAAAACCAAATGAAGACCCACACTATGCAGAGCATGATGCACATAGCTCTTGACTTTCAACCTTTCGTTTAGTGACCGTCCAAAGTTACAACGGCACTGAAAAAAGCGACCTATGACTGGTTTTCACAGTTAATGACTGTGGCAGCAGCTCCCTGGTCACGTGGTCAAACTTCAGACACTTGGCATCTGGCATGTATTTATGCCAGTTGCACTGTCCCGCGTTCACATGAGCACCATTTATAATCTTCCCAGGAGGCTTCCAACAAGCGAAGTCGATAATGGAAGACAGATTTGCTTAATGACCGAATGAGTCACTTAATAGCTGCAGTGATTCACTGAACAACTGTGGCAAGAAAGGTCATAAAATGGGGCAAAACTCATGGACAACTGTCTTGCTTAGCACTGAAAATTTGGGGTTTTCAATTGTAGTCCTAAGTTAAGGACTACCTGTATGTAAACAAGCCACCCTCAGTGAACACCTGAAGGGGGGTGAGCTATGGGCAATTGCAAACCAGCCGCCTTTCGCTAGCTCATGTGCAGCTGAAGAAAGTCGAAACACCATTCAGAAGGAGATCCATGTGCTTTTTAAAAGTTCTTTAAGTTCTTTTCAACTCTGATTTAATTTTGTTTTTAACTACAGATAGTCCTCGACTTACAGTTCATTTAGTGACCATGCGAAGTTACAATGGCACTGAAAAAAGAGATGACCGTCTTTCACACTTACAACCATTGCAGCATTCCCGTGGTCACATGATCAAAATTCAGACGCTTGGCAACTGGTTCCTATTTATGACAGTGGAGGTGTCCTGTGATCATCTTTTATGACCTTCTGACCAGCCAAATCAATGGGGGAAGCCAGATTCACTTAGCAACCATGTTACTAACTTAACAACTGTGGTGATTCATTTAACAAAAGTGTAAAGAAAGGTTGTAAAATGGGGCAAAACTCACCTAACAAATGTCTCACTTAGCAACAAAAATTTTGGGCTCAACTGTGGTCATAAGTTGAGGACTGGTTTTATTGCCTATATACAATTTTATTATTTTATTTGTGAATTGCCCAAAGCCATGCAAGGGTGATGGGCAGTATACAAATTTGATAAACAATAATAATAATAAAAATCTGTTGAATTGCATTGCAATCTTAAATGTGTAAATACTTTTTTCTTTCCAAACACCATCCTAGGATTTTCAGGGCTAAACTGATCACAAACCCCCCAGCCTTACCGGTATGAGATCTGAGATGAACGGTGAGCTGACTGGAATTTCGGCTGGCGTAAGGACAGATCTGGCACTTGAAAGGCCGCTCGTCGGAATGGATGCGCTGGTGCTTGTTTAGGCTGCTGCTCTCGGCCGCTGCGTAGTCACAGTGCTTACACTTGTAAGGTTTCACTCCGCTGTGGGAGCGCATGTGCATTTTCAGCTTGTCTTTGCGACTGAAATTCTTGCCGCAAACTTCACATTTATGAGGCTTGTCACCTGAAAAAAGGAAGAAGAAATGTAAAGCACCCGGTTCCTGAAGGGAAGGAATTAATCTTTTTCATGATGAAATGGAAATTATCATTCAAGAGGAGTTTTTTTTAAATCAAGCTGTTTACTTTTTCTTAGAAAATCAGGGATAGGTGCAGATACAGGTAAGCCCCACCTTCGAATGGTCACAATAATTTCATTTGGTCTAAGAGAAATTTATTATTATTTTTCCTAATGTCTACTATATTCAGGACACCAAAATGACTATAAAAATGTGCAGCAGTTCAGAAAACAATACTTCCGTGTCACTGTTCACCCCACCTCAACCCCAGATTATAAATGTTTTGCTGGAAAAGGACACACATTCTAAGAAATCTGTACCCACTGATTTAAAAATAAAACTACTTACAAATAATCCTTGACTTACATCATTCAGTGACCATTTGAAGTGAGAATGGCATCGAAAAAAAGTGACAGATGATTCTTTTTCACACTTACAAGCATTGAAGCATCCTTGTGGTCACGTGATCAAAATTTGGATGCTTGGCGACTGGCACACATTTATGATGGCTGCAGTGTCCCGGCGTCCTGTGATCACTTTTTGTGACCTCTGACAAGCAAAGTCAATGGGGAAGCCAGATTCACTTAACAGTCATGTTACTAATTTAACAACTGCAGCTTTCGTGAAAGGTTGCAAAATGGGGCAAATTTCACTTAACTATTTTGCTTAGCAATGGAAATTTTCAGCTCAACTGTGGTTGTAAGTCAAGAATTAACTGTATTCCAAAACTCCCAGAATGTACCTGTGTGTGTTCTTAAGTGCCGTTCCATGTCTTTCATTCCATAAGATGTCTTGAACTGACACCCTAGAGGGAGAAAAGAAATAGAAGATTAATTATTAGGAGTTCATTTTAACTATCGGTTCCTGCAAATGGTGGATCTCCTCTTTTCCTAACAACCAGTGGGGCAAAGAGGTGGTGAGACCCAAAGCTGGCTGGGTGGTCTTCTCCTTCCCAAACTAACCCCAGCACCACTGCCTCACATCATGTTCAGAGAGTATTTGCTCTTCCTGGTAAGGCAGACAGAACTATTCTCCTAAAAGTGGCTGGAAGAACATGCAGTGACTTCCAAGCAAGAATGTGGTTTCTGGTAAATATAATAATTATTAAAGGAATCAAATTAAAGCCGTAAATGAAAAAAAAAATCTACAACATGAAGAAGATCACCCTTTCCATGCTGTGGAGGGAGATTTGAGAGAGAGAGAGAGAGAGGGAGGGAGAGATGATGCTTTTTCACTGTGGTAGAGAAACATTTGCAAAGAGTCTAATGTTCCACTGCGCAGTCCCACTGGAACAGAAGTCCTGCTGAAAGCCTAATTAACAGGCTGCACAAATTTACCTTAGCAGACATGAGAGTGCTCTACTTGTAATTATTTAAAAAAGAAAAAAATATATACAACTGGGTAGCTGCCTTGGGTATCGATAGCAAATAATCTTTACAGAATGGATTCCAATTCTCTTTGGAAGCGCAAGAGACTGAGAACCCCCAATCAGACTGATGCATTCTTGATTCACCTAGATATCACTGCCCATTTGTTGGCTAAAATAAAACAAAGAGGAACTGGAAAGTCTGAATACCTGAGATCTTAAAATCTTAAAACCAACCAATGCCATTTCTTCTTGGAGGAAAATAGAGATACCTGTTGCTTTCTGTGAAACATCAAATTCATCTTAGTGATGAATGACAGTTCTGGATGAAGTGTTTTTAAATTGGGAAGATTGCACTCCCCCCCCCCAGCAAACAAAGTTCTGAAATTTCTGCTAGAAATTTGTTTTTCCAGGAGTAACAAATGTAAAATGGGGAACAAATAGAATAGTACAAAGACTCCAAGCTTCTCAGCACCTGCATCTTCTCTGCTTCCTAAAGGGACTGAATCTTTGAGGTTGATCACAGATGTTTAAGAGATCCCTCTGGGGGACTGCCAAAGAGAAAGTTCATAGACGATATAGACACTACTTTTCCAGATCTGAATCCACCCAACTTTACCAGTTCTTTGCTCAACTGAATATACTGTAGCCATACTCAGCTGAAGCGTCAGTTGAATTTCCACCCAGACTAACCTCCCTCATGAAAAAAATTAGATATTTATGTACATATGTAGCTAAGTTATCCGTCAACAGAAAAGCAAAGGGGCATTGAGGTAATACTAAAAGTTAAGGAAAACTATGTATAGTTTCAAGTTTCATCAAATATTAATGCTACAGATATTCTTTCAGCACCAACTGCCTAGGATTATCCTGTTTTTCCAATATGTGCTCCAAACCAAGTTTGGTATTTGGGGTCACTGGAATTGAACAAGGAAGTTACACAGACTTTTCTCTTGCTAGTTCTGAGGAAAGCTACCAGTGCAGTGAATTGTGTCTGGATCCTAGATGCCGGCTATTGTCATGACATCTACCTCTGAGAATATGACTGACCTGACAAGTTCCTAGAGTGAATTTATCAAAGCGATTATCTTAGCAGCATATTATTCTGTAGCTATCCATACATGGACCTCCTACTGATCCATTCTTCCTCTTTTGTTTAGGGATGGATGGTTGCAAGGAAACATTATGAACAATTGTTTTTATTTATTTTAAGACTGTATGTTGATTTATTTTAAAATTCTAAGCCTCCATCTCAGCAAGACACTTGCTGAGATGGGGGCCATACAAATTGATTGATGGACTGAATCTATACATTACTAAAACTTTTTGTTATGACCTTTAACTAGATGAAACAATGTTCATAGGGCAACAATTTTTCAACCAAGATATGTCAAATGAGCTAACTAACAAGAATGTGTCCAAAATCTAAGACCCGTGTCCTCCGAGGAAATGAAATTTGGAGAAGCTATGACTGCTATTTCACTACTACTGGCTGCTGCTGCAGTCACATGACCTTTATGCTCAATATTCTGTGACAGTTTCCTAGCCAATCCTGCAATTCCTTTCTCTTTCCCCCACCCAACAGCAGCCACTTACCAGCAAGCAAGCAAGCAGGAAAGGTTTTTAAAACTCCCTCCCCTCCCCGGTCATTCTGTTTTTCCTTTTAGGCAAGGAAATATCTCTGAAATGATGATCCAACACCAAACTAGGTTATATGGTGAATAAATAAAGCATTTCAAATTCTGAAGCAGTTTCATTTTCTAATGAACATGGAAAAGAATCAGTTCTTACTCTTCTGGTAACCACAGAATCTGGACATTGGAAACAACTTCTGGACATGGGTAATGACTTCCAAATATGTCACCTGAACTGCACACAACCCATAGTGGCATCTGTGGCTCTAGATTCTTTTAGAAATTTGGAGAATTTCAGCTATCAAATAAACTTTCTGACATACCAATATGGAGCACAAGTAATGCCTGTTAATTCTCTAGCTAGGGCAGAAATAGTTTAAAAGAAAGAAAAGAATAGAACAGAACAGAACTCTCAGGATCATCATGCACTCATTTGTCTTCTTAGCAAAGTGAGGTGGATGAATAATTCCTTCTAGATTGCTTTTTACCAATATAGAAAAAATTGTCCTCACTTCTTAGGGAAAAAGAAATGAATTCCTCCTATTTCTTTTCTCCTGCTATGATTCAAGGAACCTGGGCAGGTTTTTTTGAAGTCTAACTTGCCTTGAGTCTAACTTGCCTTGAGATCATTCTTTCACAGAATGACACTATGGATACAGTAACCTGGTTTTCTATTTCTGTTTTGGTCCACCATTGCCCATTAGTTTGCAACCCAGGGGCCATGACAATGAACATGGGGGAGAAGGATATGTTTCTCCAAAATAAGTAGACCAGGGTGAAAGGGATTAATTCATTTAAATCTATGCACCAAGCTTCGCCACTGAACAAGGATTTGAACCTTACTGGATTAGCTTATTGAGTCCTTTCTTCAGGTGGTCTGCATGAAAATAAAAATGGAGTGTGGAGGGGGAGAGATGTAGCATAAATTTCAGTCAAATTCTCAAGCCAAGACAGGTTTTGACTGTATGTTCTAATGAAGTTAATTGACTTAATCACACATGGAAGGTTATTTTTCCCCCTCTTTAGGCCTCATGATCAATGGCAACCTAAATTAATTTTAAAAATTGCTTCCATGAATCTTCTTGTAACTTTGTGGCAATGTCACTGAGTAAAATTAATACAAGCGATGCCAATTTATTTCCTCATTCCATCTCAGAGAGCAGCAGATCAGTAGGCAGAAAGTAAATACAATGCAAAGAACAATTCACAACTGCCAAGTCCCTTGAGGACCTGCAAGGCTTCTAAGGAAAAAGAGAAAAAAGCCCCAACAAGAAGAAAGAACCTCTCTGAGCACTTACATGTACTGATTTGCATATAATACAACCATGTTTTTTTCCCTGAAGGTCAGGCATGCTTGTGTTTTCGTGCAGAAAAGGAACTCGTAGACTTGTAGGCATATACAGATGTAGTTCCGTAAAAATCCTGCAATTTTTCTAGCTATGGATCGAACGTGTCAACAGTTGCAATAAAGTATTAACATTTCAATTCTCCACAGAAACATGGCCAAATGGAATACATTAGATGGGATTATCTCCTAATGACTAGATGAGAACAGTATACAAGTACGCCTTCTCCTGGAATATCTTTTGACTTCCCCGTCTAGACTAATAATTAGGATTTCCTGGTGTTCTAGTAAAATACTAATCAGGTCCAATTCTGTTTAGCAATTTAAGATCAGCCCAGGTGAGCTTACTGGTGCCAACTGCTAAAGAAAGTGCCTGTTACCTACAAAATTCATTGAACCATGCTTGATTTGGGCTTGAGAAAGTTAGCCATGCCACTGTAGAGAGGTAGTTCCATGATAAAAATCATCTGGTGCATGAGGAAGTACTCAGGTTTAAATCAATTAGCACCAATCATTAGTTAAGACAGGAGGTCTTCGACTTACGACCAGTTACTTAGCAACCAAAGTTATGACAGACCCCCCCAAAGTACTTATGACCTGGATTCAAAGTTCTGAAACCCCCCCCTCCCATGACGTAATTGCATTTTGAGCACTCAACAACCAGCTTGCATTTACAGCTGCTTGCAGCATCTTGTGGTCATGTGACCACAATTTGCGGTATTTTTTGTTGGAAACCGGTGTTTACTTTCAGTTTCTGATAAAAAAAAAACCACCCATTGCAGACAATGGGTTTGCTTGATGACCATGGTGATTCATTTAACAGCAGCTGCTAAAAATATTGTAAAATAAGATTAGTCACATGATGACCCACTTAACAACTTACAATCTAATTATTGGCTTGAGTCGAGGATTACCTATAACTTGTATCTGGAGGATGCTACTCCTAGACAAAGAGTATATAGTACTGAGCTAACTGAAACAATGATCTTTGATTCAATGTATGACAAGAGCTGAACTCTTTGTAACTGAATGGTTCTGTGTATAGCCTGAGTATAGCATATATGCAGAAGGTAGCCTTCCTTATACCCATGTCTTGCTTTTTCTTTTCCAGAGGATTTGCTTTTGGAAATGCCCTCTAACTTCAGCCAGTCCATCTTCTCCATGAGCTAATGTAGTCTGAACCTTTGCCAGAAGCAAAACAACAAGAACCATCAGGAGAATTTGTCTACATCAATCCATAAAATAGTTTATTCTAGAAGGTAGTGGAGTATTCTTTATTAGAAGATTTTAAGCAAAGGTTGGGTGGTCATGAATTAAAGATGTGTATTAGTGGATTTCGTCCATCAGCAAAGGACAGCATTAAATAGCAGTCAAACGTCTTCCTACTAATTCCATGACCAAAGGTTCCAAGTCACTGAAGCACGACATTTTCCCCACACTGTTTATGCATGCTGGGATCTAGGTAATTGAAAGCATGGGGAGTGTGCATTTTTCAACTATTTCAAATATAGCTAGGAACCTTTTTCAATGAGAAACTGTTTCAACTGTGAAATGTGCTGTTTTAAAACTTTTGGAAACATTAAATGCTAAAATCAGGGGTCTAGAAGTTGAGTCACAGCAACTGGACTTATTTTCCTGATGGTTTGAGACGTTTTGTTGCCCATCCCAGTAGTTTCTTTAGTCTGAACAAGTTGTTTAAGAGAATCTGAGTAGGCAGAGAGCTGTTGGAATGTGCCAACTCCTAAAATTCTTAGGGGGAATTCCTGCACTAACCCAGAATTTCTTCCCCAAAGTGTGTGACAATATGTCGATGAAGATTCTGTCATCCAGACAGAGTTGTCTGGAAGTTGTGTCATGGCAACTGACTTATTTTCTTGCTGATTTGAAGAAACCCTGAGGTTGGTGCCAGAATCTCCCTAAGAATTTTAGGAGTTGGCACATTCTAATGGCTCTCTGCCTACTCAGATTTTCCTAACCAACTTGTTCTGATTGAAGAAACTGCTGGGATGGGCAGCAAAAACGTCTCAAAACTACATGAGTCCAGTTGCCATGGACTGACTGGATGATTGAGAATCTTCATCGACATAAAATCAGAGCTGTTTTTGAAATGGATCTGGAATAATAATAAAAAAGGCTATTTCACTCTTAGATTGGGACATTCTGCAAATTTTTGCTCTTGAAATGTTTGGAAACAAAACATATTGGACATCTCTAGCACTATCTAAGGCAGTGATGGCGAACCTTTTAGAGACCGAGTGCCTAAACTGCAACCCAAAACCACTTATTTATCGCAAAGTGCCAGCGCTGCATCAGCATTGTGGTGCCCTCAGGTGGGGTGGGGGTGTGTGTGGCCCACTGGGTGGGCGTGGCTGCAGTGGTCACAGCAGATTGGGTGAACATGGCCGGGGCCAGTCCCTCAACTCTGGGGCATCCCCGGTAGGCCAACGCCGCTTGCTCACTCACTTCCTACCTTGTCGCTTCCAAACGCCACGTGCTAGTAACTCTGGTGAACTCTGCTGGGGCAACAGCACGTGTGCCCACAGAGAGGGCTCTAAGTGCTGCCTCTGGCACCCGTGCCATAGGTTCGCCACCACTGATCTAAGGTCTTTGCTACTCAATTCTTGTCTGGAACCATCATGTGACTGGAAATGAAGACCCCCCCCTCCTTCCATGGTAGCCACTGTACTCACAATATATTTTCAAAATGCCCCCCCTTCCATCCAAAAATAGATTTCTGATTTACCCACCGGTTTATCCTTTACCTGGGTAGCTGCAATTGAACTTCTTCTGAGCCGCTGATGTGTTGGACTTTTTGCTGCGTGATTTCAGTGGAGTGGTAACAAGAGTAGCTGTCCGAGGTTCACCGTTCTCACCAGACAGGTAAGTTTGGTAGCCATGTTCAAAAACAAACTCGGGTGCCGATACTGATAAAACATAAAAAAAAGGCTTCATTTTAGGATCCCCAATGCTGAAAACCCTTTCCTCATATTGCTACCTAACTATACATGGATTGGTGGAAGAAAAAGCTTTCATGCACTCAGTGCAACCTTTGCTGACTTTCTACTGATCAGACATTTTCATGCTCACAGTCTACATTCCTATACCTATAATTAGATCTATGTAAGTGTAGGAGATGACCAGGCTGAGCGCAAGGGTGTCGGTCAAATGCATCATCAGTCTGGAGTCCCGAATGAAATCTAAGTCCAGCCCCTCCCTCCGTTGACTCTTATCTGCCCCTAATTTGCTGACTGTAAATAGATCAAATTCTTGTATAGGCTGCTTGGAATAAATTCACAGTATTTTTGAATTCTATCTTGACTCCTTGTTTCTTGTGACTGATAGTAAGGCATTAATGACAGGGAAGAGACCAGGAGGTTGAGATATTTTGATTCCTGATCATTCGGTTGCCTATCCCGACCGTGGGATGGGCAAAAAGGAAAATATAGAAGTAGACGAACATTCCTCATTTAACAATGGTAATTGGGACCAGGAACTTTGTCACTAAATGACACAATTGTAAAGCATGATATCATGTAAATGTGCTGATTTCTGACAGTAGTTCTGGCAGTCCCATTTGATGTTGTTAGGCAACCCTTGAGCAGTTTGTGATTGTTACCTGCGAGCTCCTGCTGGCTTCTCTACTGAATTTGTGAAGGTCACAAATGTTGATAACCTGATCAGATCCTATGACATAAATGCAAGCTGGACAGAGTGCCTGAATTGTAATCATGTGACCATAGGGACCCTGCAACAACTACAACTATGAAGATGTGTCATAAAAACTTCATGTTCAGCACCACTGTAATTTCAAATGGTTACTGAATGGGTGGACATTAAGCAAGGACTACTTATACCTGCCAAACTATTTCTACTTCTCCAGCTAGCCCAACACTCTCAAATTGGTCTTTGGGCTTCTTTTCCAATATGGAAATAATTTAATAATTTTTTCCCAAAGATTTTTTCGTATCCTTTCCTCCTGTCCCCAAGAATTGAACCTATAAATATCATACAAATGTTCTGAGCTACACCCCCAAACAGCTTCACAAATCTTGCTGCTCATTAAGATGAGGGGCAGATTTCCTAAGTTTTCACTGAAAGTGACATAAATTTAACCATCAAGCTTCGGTGTGATCTTTGTGTTCAAAGAAATGAAGCTATCTGCTTCTTGGACATCACTTCCCAAACTTTCTAGGCAAAATACCTGTGATGGTTTGTGTTTCTGATGTGATGGTCCTTGCAACGGTTTGTGCTTGTGAGGCTGGCACTGTTTCTTCAGCCACAAACTGCACTGTACTGGTAGCGCCAGTTGTTGTGCCAGACAGTTGACAGCCACTCCTTTTGTGACCAACAAAGGCATCAAGATTGTTGAATTGTTGTTTGCAGAGGCCACAAATGTGGATATCTGGAGTGACCTCCACTAGGACTGTGGTTCCACCAGGAACTGCCAAAATATACAATCCAAACAGTTAATGACTCTCAATAAAGTAATAACAGACATATTTTATATTCAGAAGCTGCTGAATGCATGATAGATGGGACTTTTTTTAAATGGACTTCCAAAAGATGCAGGGGTGTAGCCAGTAAGATCATTATATCATCAGAGTGAGCTGTGAAGGAATGTAGAGCTAACTTTAGAGAATAGGGAAGGAATAAGGGAGCCATTTGTAGAACTTGCAGAAATGTTTAGTCCCAAAAGAAGAAATCATACCAAAGAAGCTCAAAATAACCCTGCCTTGATTTTATCCAGTACAAACCAGAGATGCTGGGAAAGATTGAGGGCAACAGAAGAAGGGGATGCCAGAGAATGAGATGGCTGGATGGAGTCACTGAAGCAGTAGGCATGAGCTTAAATGGACTCCAGAAGATGGTAGAGGACAGGAAGGCCTGGAGGAACATTGTCCATGGGGTTACGATGGCTGGGACATGACTTCGCAACTAACAACAGCAATAAGGCAGTGTTTCAGAACCTTGGTGACTTTATGATGTAGACTTCAACTCCCAGAATTCCCTAGCCAGAATCTTACACTTGCCACGTTGTACAAAAATATGTTTAAATTAACATGTGTACCCCATGTTTTCTCACTTTTCTTAATTTGCTTATAAAGGTTACACTTTGGTTCAGAATCTCAAGTTAATATAGAATTAGATCGACTTTTATGCAACTGGTATGACTTGCAAATAGATGCTAGGATAAAACTGCATAAAAACAAGGGCTGCAGCCCTTCAGATGTTGAATAATTCCTAGCATCCTTCACCACTGCCTCTCCTGGATGTGGTTGCTGATTAGTCCTTCAGCAACATCTGGAGGTCTTCCCTTTCTTGTCCCTGATCTAAACTTTTGCTGCCAAAAAGAGAAGAGAGGATTATGCAAAATAACCAGTTTCCCACGCTTAAAAAAGCAGAATTTCCTCACTGAATGCCAATGATCATCCAAGGCAATATCGCTTTGGGGATAAATGTCAACTGCAGTCCAAACTCTCCGGAGGACACCCGACAAAAGCAAGGCGGCACGACAGTCATCAGGAAAAAGATGCATCGCGATCGAAACGCAAAAGCTAAGCCTTCCGTGATGCGTAGCCGCGTTAGGAAGAGGCCTGCAAACCGAGCCGTCTTTGTCGGCGTGAACCCTCCGTAAGAGGCTTGAAACGGGCAGCTAGCCGGGACTTGGGCAGCTTGCATATCCGCAGCGACGTTTGCATTGCACTGGCTTCCCCCGTGCCCCTCCCCCACATCTTGCAAATTAGCGACTGCAGCAATATAAAGCCCAGAGAAAGCCCCTTCTCCGAACCGCCCGGCGGCTTTTCGCGCGCAGCCGTGCCACCCCGCGATGCGCCTTCTCGGATCCGCTCGCTGCTCTCTCTCCACCCAGGTTCCGGGGCCGCTGCTCAGCCAGATTCCCGGGCGGGCCGAACGCTCGCTTCTGCCGCTACTCAGGTTGCGGGGCCCGCCTGAGCCTTAGCACAACGCTGCTTTTCCAACTCCCCGGCCCGGGAGCGCGGATAAGCCGCGTGGCCACTTACATTGCACGGGACCGGAGAAGGGCTGAGTGCCCGCGGCGCTGGAGTTCATCTTGGCTTCCGCGGTGATGCACGGGCTGAAGCTGCCTACAAAAAAGAAACATGCAAACAAGCAAACAAAGGGGGCAAAAATAAAAAGCCTCCTTGCTCCCCCCCCCCGCAAGCCCTTAAGGCGGGGACGGATATGGGCCTACCGAGCATGCTCCGTAGAAAAAACTGAAGCCGACGGAGCTAGTCTTTCTGCCCACACCGCAAGCAAGCGTTCCTTTTTTCCCAGTTGTCTACGATTCTGGCGTGTTACTTAAGAGGAAGCCTATTAGATTTGCACGAGACTTGCTTCCAAATAGGCACGCGGTTCTTTCCGTGTTCCACATTTTTCCTTGTGTATGCTCAATAACAACAACAACAACAATAATATAATAATAAAAATAAAAAGTCAGAAGGTACCTTGGAGGCAGGAAACCCTATACCATTTCTGGCAAATGATTGTCCAGTGTCGTCTTAAAAGCTTCCAGTGTTGGAGCATTCACAACTTCTGGAGGCAGGTTGTTCCACTGATTAATTGCTCTAACTGTCAGGAAATTTCTCCTTAGTTCTAGAAATTGTTTTTCTCCTTCATTAGTTTCCATCCATTGCTTCTTGTCCTGCCTTCAGGTGCTTTGGAGAATAGCTTGACTCTCTCTTTGTGGCAACCCCTGAGATATTGGAACATAGCTATCCTGTCACCCCTAGTCCTTCATTAAACTAGACATACCCAATTCCAGCAACCCTTTTTTATATGTTTTAGCTTCCAGTCCCCTGATCATCTTTGTTGCTCTTCTCTGTACTCTTTCTAGAGTCTCAACATCTTTTTTACATTGTGGTGACCAAAACTGGGTGCAGTATTCCAAGTGTGGCCTTACCAAGGCATTGTAAAGTGGTATTAATACTTCATATGATCTTGATTATATCCCTCTATTAATGCAGCTTAGCACTGTGTTGACTTTTTTGGCAGCTGCAGCACACTTCTAGCTCATGTTTAAGTGATTGTCCACTAGAACTCCGAGATTCTTCTCACAGTTACTGTTGAACAAGGTACCACCTATATTGTATCTGTGCATTTGGTTTTTCTTGCCTAAATGTAGAACCTTACTTTTTTCCACCTTTGAATTTCATTTTGTTAGATAGTGCCCAATGTTCAAGTCTGTCAAGATCCGTCTGTATCTTAAGCCTGTCTTTTGGAGTGTTAGTGATTCCTGCCAGCTTGGTGTTGTATGCAGATTTGATCCCCATCTATCCCTTCATCCAAATCATTGATGAAGATGTTGAAGAGCACTGGGCCCAGAACAGAGCCCAGGGGGCACCCGATTGCACACTTCCCTTCATGTAGATGCAGCTTCATTGAGGGCCACACGCTGAGTAGGCTGGTCAACCAGCTACAAATCCATCTGGTGGTGATGCTGTCTACATTTTTCTATCTTATCAAGTAGTAGGTTGTGGTCTACTTTATCAAATGCCTTACTGAAGTCCAAGTAAATTATATCCACAGAATTCCTCTGGTCATCTGGTCAAAGAATGCAATAAGATTTGTCTGGCATGATCTGTTTTTGACAAACCCATGTTGGCTTTGCTAATGACTTTGTTTGCCTCTAGGTGTTTGCTGATTTGTTGCTTGGTTATCTTTTCCAGAATCTTCCCAGGTATATCTGCTGGATTATAAAGAGCAAGGCAATTTGACAGGAAATCTAGTTGCTTAGAGACTGGTTTGCCTGGAGCAAAACCTTGAATAAGGGGCCAGTACAGTTGTTTCTGTTAGAGTGTACAGTGTAAATCAGGATCCCAGTCTGTTCTGCAATGGCAGCCACTTATGATCCAAATACAGGATTAGCACAACTTAAAGTGCATTCAGTAGTGTCTTCAGGGAAGTTAAGGGGGGACAATGATAAAAGCAGTCTCTTGCCATCACCAGTCAATACCTGCCATTTTTAGAGTTGTGTTGTGATGCACACCTACCTAAATCTTACAGCATGGCAACATAATGCTGCTTTTTTATTTTGATAAAAAATCAACCCCTGCAGATATCCATGAATTCTATTTCTTTATTTGTATTTATTTTGTTAAACTTCTATACTGCTCTGGGCAGTTCATAATCAAAACAAATTACAGTAAAATCCAATTGCAGCAATAGGAAGGAAAAAAATGGCAAGAATGACAAATCAAATGAGGCAAGGCAGTCTCACTCTAACCTTGTAAAAAAAATATGGAAAAAAGGTATTTAACACCATGGAGATGTAACTAAAGATGCCATGACTTTACTAGTTTTTTTTTTAAGGAACTTTTTTTTTTGTATAGTTGAACACTTTGGAAATTGTGCTTAAAGCTTACTTATCCATTTTCTCCTTTTTCTCCCTCAAAAATTGAATGGCTGATACGGGTTTTCCACATATTTTAAGTGAATGAAATGGCATCCAGATTGCCTCTTAATTCCATTTACAAAAAAGACAATGCCAATATCTTTGCCTTCTTATGCACAAAACCCCTTTCATTTCAGGACTGCTTTGGGCCTTGCAAAAGGCATTCTGAGAAATCACCTGCAGCCCATGGATTATATGTGTCTCATCCCTGTGCCAAACCTTAATAGATTCAGTTTGATTTGGCTTCGTACCATGGATGAATTTAGCCATTGTGGTCTGTTACTATGATTCAGATATGCTTTAGGGCAGCGGTTCTCAACCTATGGGTCGCGACCCCATTTGGGGTCGATCGACCATTTCTTGGGGGTCGCCAAACAAGGCGATCCGCCATTTTCCCCCCTTGGGGGCACCGCCGCGCATGCGCGCCGCGCATGGGGCCGCCGCCGCGCATGCGCGGCACGTTTGTGTGACGGGGGTTGCCGTCACACAAACGTTGAGAAGCACTGGTTTAGGGGGTCAGGCCAACCAGTGGCTGCAGAATTGACCTGTGCCTTGATGTGATAGAAGAAAAATATTAAAATGCTGTAATTCTAAAAGGAAATTAATTTAATTGGTGTTGCCTTAAGGTTGTAATGCATCGTGGCCACAACACTAGATAACTTTCACAATCCAGCTGGATTAAACCCAGTGGTAGCTGCTGGCCTGTGGAACAGCCTCCTCTCCTCTCTGAGATTCAGACAGTTTTGGCCTTTTGGGATGCTTTTCTTCCAGGCCTCTGAGTGAGGGTATACAAGAACCTAATACACGCATGTTTTTGTGTTGAGAATTAGTTATGTGTGTCTTGGCTATTGTATTATGATAAGGTGACCAACCGTCCTCCTTTAGGGAGGACAGTCCTCCTTTTGTGAGTTCTGTCCTCCCTCAAAAAGTGTCCTCCTAAATGTCCTCTTTTTCGATATTTGAAGAGTAATCTGCAGGGCTTTTTTTGTCTCATAGAACACTCAGAACAGCATTCCGGCACCTTTTTTGATGGTTTTTTTTTTTTCAACTTTTGCACGAGCTGTGCTACTCCCCCTATTGGCTTTCGAAAGCCAATAGGAATTGCTGCTGAGCATGCCAAAACATCGGGCTGGCAAAATTTGCACATGTAAGTTGTCTGCAGGGAAGGCGAATTGGCAGGAACTTTGCACCCCTCCCTGCTACCCAACTACACCATCTCCTAGTTAGTCCCGAAGATACCTGGAGGAGACTGGAACAGCAATGCCACAGTAACTTTCTCTTGATCTTTGGCCCTGCTAGGGCAATAATGGCTGTGGGTGCAAGAGGCAGGGGCAGCAGGGCTGCTGCGGGTGGGGGTGTGAGGGGCGGCGGTGGCCAGCTGCCCCCTGTGCTGTGAGAGCTGCGAGGCCTGCTCTACACGGGGCTGTGCAGTGTGGGCGGTGTGCTGGTGGGGCGGCTGCAGGCGGGGTGTGTTGACGACGGGCTGACCCCGGGGCCGGAGCCGGCGCAGCTGGTGCTTTGGGAGCCACGGGGCCCGCTCTACACGGCAGGGCAGCAGTGCTGGCGGGGCGGCTGCAGGCGGGGCGGCTGCAGGCGGGGGCGCGGCATGCAAGCATAATTACAATATAAAATGTTATTGTTACAAATGTTTTTTATTATGCATTTATCATATTATAGTGTATTCTGTATTATTGTTGCAATGAATAAAATTTTTCTTTTATTTACGATATTTTTTCTTCAATTTATTTGTGTCTTCCTTTTCATTGTAAAAAAGTTGGTCACCTTAATTATGAGAATTTTAATGGTATTTTTTCTTCTGTTTATTGGACTTTTATCAGACATTTTTTGTTTGTGTCCATAGACTGTTAGCTCTTCAGAATTATTTAAAATGGGCAGCAATGTAAAATTTCTAAATGAATTTATCGATTCATTCAATTTATATTCAAATACTTCAATGAGAGGCAACTAGAATTTTTACTAAATCGCTGTTTCTGTGAAGTCACCAGGAATCAAGTTCACCTTGAGAAGGAGGAAGAAGATGGAAGTTAAATTTAAATTTAACAATTTCAATAACAGCTAATATGGAATAATGCCTAGTAGTTAAAATAATAAAGAATATGAAATGTGGAAATGAAGGAAATCAACTGGCAATTAAAATAACTAAAAAGATTCTAGAAACAATCCTCAGTAATTTGTAATTATATTGATGAATAATGACAAATACCATAAACAAATGCATTGTGCATAAAATTAATTATATTAAAAGAATAGCTAATCTGTCTCTGTGTTGATAACATATAATTATGAAGATGCTTTCTTGCATGTTTTTAAATAATGTCATTTGAATTCATAATTCAGAGTAGGTATTTTGACATTTAATACATGTTGCAATTTATACATTTTTTAAATATAATTGCACTGTGCCATATTAAAAGAATCACAGCTTACTCAGAGATATTTCCTACCAACACATAACAGTGAAATAATGGTATGGAAACCAATTCTT